GGGCCCCCCCCTGGGCGGGCCTCCTCCCCCCACCACATCTGGCCTCTGACCCCCCCGCGACAGTCATCAGGGCTTCCGCTGTGTGTGGAGATGTGGATGAGCGCCTTCGCCCCCTTAGGGTGGCTGCTGAGACAACACTGCAGCTTGCGTTGTTGTCGTTTACTTAAAAGGAACACCACTAGTAAATGACAAAAACAAACCAGGGAGAGAAAGTACAAAGCCTACGAATGGATGAGTTTGCCAAGCAAGGAGCTTGCAGTGCAGGAGAACTCGAGATTAGCTCCATGAGCACAGCCTACTGAAAACCCAGGGACCCATTGTTTTCTTTTCTCCTTTCCTCTCTTCTACTTATTTCTCATTCTTTTTCAAAACAATTAGTTGTGTTTTGGTTCACCCTGAGAGAGAGCTTAAAAAGGCTGGAAGAAGCAATGCAAGTCTGACCTTGAGAGAAGGAAAGAGAGAGGAAAGGTTGGATAAAAGCATGCTTGGCTGCCCGGAAGTCTAAGGAAGGTTCAGCAAGGCCACTCGGGAGTCCTTGAGCCAAAGCTGGCTGTCAGGGGAGTCCGATGTTTCCCAGGGCTGGGACTCCCTGCTGTGCTCTGTCATTGGCCAGGAACAACCCATGGGACATGTGGTGTTGGTGAATTCGCTGATGGATTCAGAGCCGGGCACTGGGAGCCTTGGTGAGCTCTGCTTGCTGTTGGAGGCCTGCCAGGCACACTGTCATGGCCACCATCGCCCTGTCTGCTTTGGCATGCCTGAAGCTGATTCACGGAATGACTCTCTCCTTCAGTGGACTTGTTTCTCCTCCAGTCTTCCTCCAGCTATTCACATGGTCTGTTTCCACTGCTCCCTTTCCTGCAAGGCCTCTCCTGGCCACTCGGTCTAAAATTGCAATTCTCTGTCCTCCGTTTCCTCGCCCCCTCCCCAGCTCCGACGATTGTCTAACCTACCATCCGTTTGTCTTATGTATGTATTTCCTGTGTCTCCGCTCTACTAGGACGTAAGTTTCACGAGGGCAGAGATCTTGGTCTATCTTGTTCAGTGTTGGCTCTCCAAAGCTCAAACTGCCTGGCGCGTGAGAGCTATTTGTTGAATGAATAAACGAATGACTACTGTTCAGAGCAGGCTTTGGGCTCAGTGTCTTCTCCAGCAACTGCGTGGGCCTCAGGAAAGGTGCCGCCTCCTTGAGAGCTTGCACGGCTCACAGCCCTTTGCAGGAGCTGGAGAGGCAGATGCTGCGGTGCGGGTGTGGAGATTGACAGCACAGGACCCGGCACTGGGCGGACACGAGAACTGGCTCTAGCTCTACCACTTTCCAGCTGTGTGACTTGAAGCAAGGTACATAACCTCTCTCAGCTAGGGAGAAGATTTACCTCTGTTTGAATGGTTTTAAGGTTAAGAGGATTCTGAATATCTCTCAACTAATCCTTGATGAAGACGTTTTCTATTCAAGAGTCGGCAGTCAGGGCCGGCAGGTGACATGGTGGTTAAGGCACTGGCCTCTCACACAGCCAATCTGGTTTGAGTCCCAGACCTGGCAGCTTGCTTTTTCTCTTTCTCTCTCTCTCTGTCTCTCTCTGGTGGGCACAGGTACCCTATAACAAATTAAAATAATAATAAGTAAAACTAAATAATTCTTTTTAAAAAGTCAGCACTCAATATGGTTATCAACAAACTATGTTTCCTATTTACAAATTTCAGCTTGGACCCTCTAAGGACCCTCTTCCATGAACCCTCAACCCCCACCCCCACCTCCCATCATGCCTCCTGGCCGAAAAGCAGTAAGGTTTTGACGTTCCTCTGCCCTGTGCCCCATTACAACTAAACATTTCCTAAAGAGCAATTAATTTGTGTACGCTATGGTATAACCTAGCTCTGTGCTGACAGGGACCGATATGGCTCCCCTCCTCTCCTCGTCCCCCCAGGACCTGCCGCTGAGTAGGTACTCACTAAGTGTTTGTTAGACCATCACAGCCAAGTGGAAGGTTGCTTTGCTGTCTCTTTTATAATATGGAAACAGAGACACGTTCACGGTCACTGAGCAAATAAATGAGACAGCCAAGACTTAAACTGAGATCTGTCTGGTTCACCAAATGGAAAGTTTTCCGTCCTGTGCGGCTGCCTGAGGAAGGGGGTTCTTTTGTATCACCCCCCCGCCCAGAAGGAGAAGCCAGGATGTAGGAGTCAACCCCCTATGGTCTCAGGAGAGTCCAGGCCCCTGGTTTTGGAGAGCTGCAGGGTACTCGGGTTCAGTGTCGGGGGAGGGCGTGACTCCGCAAACCTCGTGCCTTTTGCCCACTGCCTTTAAGGCCAGCACATTATTTCCCAGGTTGAGTGACTCATCCTCGGCTGGCAGGTAGACCTCTCTTAATTTTTTTTTAGCTGCTCCTGAATTCTTGACAATGTTGAGTCATTCCTTGGCAGGACATTGCCAACGTTGTGGCAGTTGGGACAATTGATGTAGTCCAAATGGCTTAGTTAGCTAACCTATTGGTTTTCTGTAAGCATGGCTCCAAGTTTAACCCTGATCTGGGGAGTCTTTGAAAAAGTGGTAGCAACGTTTTCATCTTTGCAGAATGGGTTCAAAATCTCAAGGGTGGGTGAGGGTAGGTGGGAAACAGAGGGGGTATATTTGCAAACGGGAAACAATTCAAACTGAGTTGTTTGTGCTCAAAATGAGACACAAATGTGCACAGAAATACACAAACACTCTGTGATTTAACAGCAAACTTCAGTCTTTACTGTACAAACCGCTGTGTTTGCCTTTAATGATGCAATTAAAATAGTGATCCAAATAAGTAGAGTGTGGCCATAATGGGGTAAGCTCTGAGAATCAGAAGAAGATCTGCTGGTGGCATATGGCTTTTGAGAGGTACCTTTTTCTTCTCAAAATCTCCTCACCATTGTCCTGTTTGGGAGTTGTGACTTTTCACCGTAAGTCACGGGTAGAAGACATGTCGTTGGGGCTTTTATTCAAGATCGAGGTTCAAATATGTGATGAGTAAGAAGTGTCCTGTTAATGCACTAGTGCAAACCACATTTTGGTTGGTTCAGGTGTCAAGCTAGCCAGCTGATGGCCGAGCAATGCAGCTGATAAGGTATGGTTTGGCTATGGAGTGGACACCTGTTTTTATCTACCAAACATATTTTATTTTCTAGACATGGAATCCCAGTTTTTTTGACAGAGGACTGTCCCTCGTCTGACTGTAGTCTATGGGATTTCAGTGGGCATGTGACCTGGGCTTAGCCAATTAGAGCATAGCATTCTTCTGGGCACGGCATTGGCTGAAGGGTGGGCATTTGACTTGCATCAGGCCAGTAGGAGGACTTCGCTAGACTGTGCAGGAGCTGCTGGGACTAAGTTATATTCTTGGGGTTGCTAATGTATTAGATGCAGGACTGGAGCGTCTGGGTGGGCACGGAGGACGTAATGGAGAGGGAGCCTGCCTGAGGGTAAGGCTGAGACAGAGGGAAGCAGAGGGGAGAGAGGACCCGTTCCTCAGGACGTTGTTAGAAGCCCTGAATCATAACACACTGGAAGCCAGTTTACCTTTGACTTTGATGCAATGAACTGATAAATTCATCTCTGGGGACCAGCAGATGGTGCGGTGGTGGAAGTGCTGGACACAGCTTGAGACCCGGACTCAGTGGCTTGAAAATCATGCCAAGTATGTGTGCATGCATGCCTAAACCCCCAAGAGGAAAATGGAGAAGAAGAGATTGTGCCATGGCCATCCCCCTGGGGGGGATTTCTCACTTCCCCTCTCTTTGTCTCTCTCTGTATCTCTTTGCTGAGTGCATACACCCTATGGCAAAAACCTTTAAAAAATATTTTCTGCCCACCCCACCCCTTTATGTTTTTGGCCAAGCTTGTTACCTGAAACTGAATCTTTTTTTTTTTTTTATTTTTTGGAGAGATTTTTGATATAGGGTGTGTGCGCTCGCCAGACAGAGACATAGAGACAGAAAGCGAGAAATCACCCCCCAGGGGGAATGGTCATGCCGCAATCTCTTCTCCTCCATTCTCCTCTCAGGATCTTGGGCACGCACGCACACGCGCCCAGTGTGAGTTTTAAGCCACCGGGCCCGGACGCGAACCGCGGTCGACTACGTGGGAGTCCAGCGACATAGCCATTACGCTAACTGCTGGTTCCCCTGAAACTGAATCTTGACTACTATAATTTTACTACTCTTTCTCTTCCACCAGACTGTAGGCTTCCTGAAAGCTGGGAGGTTTGTCTTGTCCACCTGTGTATCCTCAGCATCTAGCACAGCAGAATGCCAGTACTGAACTGTAGCAGCCAAAGAAAAAAGATTCCAGAAGAGTTCACTTTAAGCAAAATGATCTTGAACAAGAAGATCTATCCTGCTCCCCTAGTGCAGACGCAGGCTGAAGAGACATGCCTCTCATCTGGATCATCGTGCAAGGGCCTTTTGGACACTATCAGAAAGGAATATGAAGAAGTGAAAATTGATCCTGGGAAAGTTATCCATGCTGATTATCAACAAAGAATAGGGAAATGCTGAAGTTGGTTAGCATCCAGAAGTGAGGTACAGCCAAATAGAACTTGAAAAAACTGGAAAAGCAAGAATGCATACCTAGAGGTTAAAACTGGCAAGTGGGGAGTGACTGGGTGATTTTGGAGACCAAAGACAGTATCTGTGGTTTAGCATTTGACAGAGGTCAGACCTTCAAAGAGGGAAAGATGGGATATGTAGGGATAGGCCTATTGGATAGTCTTCTAGGAGGGTGGACCCAGAAGGGGTAGCAAGACCATATTCCCCATTTTTATCATTTTCCTAGAACTTTACAATTTGGTGACAAAAGTCATTGGTACCTTTGTTCCAGATCTACCTTTTATAGAGTGAATTATCTTGAATGCATTGAGTAGTGGGTTTTAGAAGCATCTCGGTACATCCTCCATTGTCCCATTATTACCTGGGTAAAGTCAGGGAACAGACCCTTCTCAGGCACCCTGTCTTCCCAAGTTAATCCAGCTGACTGAACTGCTGTGTCATTCCCACCTACCAACCAGAAGAGACTACGGTCATTTCAAAGAAGTTCAGGACATCTGGTACCCAAACACTTCTGAGCCAGGAGCCACTTCTTCCATCATCAGACTCCTTGAGTCTGCTCTCGAGTCATTTCTCTGCTTGCAGCACTCCTGAGCAAAGGCAGGGGAAGGATGTGTCCACAGTTGAATTCAGATGAACATTTAACAAGCTTGAGGCTTAGGTGTCACTGGTGGTAATAGGACAGGGCTAAGAGATCAATGTTAGAATTTCTAACTATACCCCATAGGAAAAAGTGTTCTCTCTTTCTTTCTCCATCCTCCTCTGACTCCCCCAGATCCTTACTCTGGCACCACCTGGGAGCTACATGGAAGAAAGTGAGTTGGCATAACTCTTCTTTTCTGACATGGTGGATTCAGAAGGTGTAATGGGTGAACCAGGACAACTAGTTTCCAATCCCAGCTCTTCAGAACCTTCATTCCTTGACCCCCAGCAGAGTCAGAAGCTTGTTGATTCTGCAGTTCTGGAAAGTGATGGTTAAGTCAAAACCTCCTTGAATGGAATGGAAGATGATCTACAGCCAAGAAGGCTGAGCCCTTGGCTCTCATCTTGTGAGATGTTCAATCTCTTTGGGCTGACCCCTGGTTTCTAAACATTCTCTCTCAGTCACACCTCTCAATAGATGCCTGGGTTTTTATTTGGGAAATCTAAAGCTGGCAATAACTTTAGAGGAGACCAAAATGTTGGGCCACGGGAGACCAACAAGGGTTTCAATAAATGGAACTTCGGCATTTAAGAGACTCAAATCCAATTCCCTCATAAAAGTTCCTGAAAATAAAGATTATCCACTTAAGCACCCAAAGATAGCATTTACGAAAAAGGCACTTTGCAAGGAAATCAATCTTAGTATTGCCTTTCGCAATTCCAAATCCCTTACGTGCTATTAAGAAGTAGACCTTTAACCTCCATTGGGTCTCTCTTCGCCAGGACCCTGCCCAGGTGGACCTGATTCTGCTCGGAGGTTTCTCTCCTTTGCCGTAATGACAGTTCTGGGAAGACTGGAGGGTCTGCGGTGGTACAGACACCCTGGGCTGAGCACTGAGATCAGGAAGGGCCCTGGTCAAGTCAGTGGTTCCCATCTGCAGATGATTACAAGGCAAAAAAAGGAAAGGCACAAGCTTCAGCTCAAATCCTTGACTTTGGGGCTTTCTTTCAAAACGCCTGCTGAGAGTGGCCTGTTGGGATCCCTTGTCGCCACTCAGGCATGTGTTTCTGTCTCCCAAGGGAGAAAGAAGCCAAACCTTCATGCTTCCTTTCAATGAATTATCTTTGGTAGCTTAGAAGTTGGGACAATAACAAGTGATGAAAGTGAATGATGACATTCCTTTCTTGACTTAGGTAAGCTTGTGTAGTTTTTCCAATTACAGCAACATGTATACCCATTTGGAAAACAGTAAGACATACGTATGAAAGGCGTATTGTTTATTCGTTCTGTAGATCTTTTCCTAGTTGTCATGCAAACTTGGGGTTCCCCTGTAGTAACAGGCTTGTTAAGTCTCTTGTCTACAGATTGGAAATTGCTGATCTATGACCAAAATATATATATATATATATATAGTGCTAGCATATAGCACGTGTGTCCTGCATGTTTATCACTCTGCCAAGTGCCTTCCATATACTAGTCCACTCGATTCTCATGACAACCTTATAAGCAGATATCTATATCCTCTATGTTTTATAAATGAGAAAACACAGGCTGAGAGATGTAAAAGAATTCACTCAAGGCGACATGAATAGTAAGTGTCAGAGTCAGGATTTAGTCCCACGTATTTCCAATTTCAAAACCCATGTCCTTGGGCCAGACCTGTAGCCTCATATTTAAGAAGCCAGACCCCACCTGTCTGACTGTGATTCAAATTCAACCCCAGCAGTTTGAAAAACATCCTGGGGCGTGCATGCATGCCCCAAATCCTGACGGGATGGAGAAATAGAGAAAAAGGGATTGCGGTGTGACCGCATCCCACTGGGGTTCTTTCTCTCCCACCCCATCTCTCTGTCTCTCTCTCTGGCGAATACATATGCCCTCTGGCAACAACAACAAAAATCAATAAATAAATGAAAATAAAATAGAAATAGAAATAAAACTGATGTTCTTTTTGTTTATTTATTTGTTTATTTGTTTGTTTATTTTCCCATAGGGCATGTACACTTATTACAGAGAGACTGAGAGAAGGAAAATGAGAACTCACTCCCCCTAGGGGACATAGCCATGCTGCAATCCCTTCTCCTCCATTCTCCTCTCGAGATTTTGGGCATGCACACACGTGCTTGGCATGCTTTTCAAGCTTCCAGGTACAGAATTTGAACTGTGGTCAGTTATGTAGGAGTCCAGTGCCCCAACCACCATGCCACCTGCTGTCCTCAAAACCCATTTTCTTAATTACAAAAACAGCATTTGGCACACACTGCTATACATCTTTCAACTGGCTACTTACTTTTTTTTTTTTTTTTTTTTTTTTTTTTTTTAGTTTGCTATAGGGCATGTGTGCTTACCAGAGAGAAATGGAGAGACAGAGACACAGAGAAGGAAAGTGTGAAAGCACCCCTAGGAAGGATGGGCATGCTGCAATCTCTTCTTCATTCTCTTCTTCGGATTCTGGGCATGCACACGTGCCAGGATGTTTTTAACGCCACTGGATCTGGGCCTCAGACAGTACTGTTAGCCATGTGGAATTCAGCCACCTTGAACTCCACTCCATGCCACTAGCTGTTCCTAACTGGCTATTCTGAATTTAGTTCTTATAACTTCTGTAGCTCTTGGTTCATAGAAAAGCCTCAGTTAGTGATTAATTGATTAATGTGAGGTTTTGTTTGTTTGTTTGTTTTTTCTTAAAATTGATTCCTAGGATTTTACTACTTATTTCCAAACAGTGGCATTTTTAACCTTTTTGAGTATAAGTCATTGAAGATCTTGGATGGTTTTCCTCGACAAATGTAATTTTAAGTTCTGGATAACAAGTCAGGAATTAATAGAGAGATGTCAGAGAGGCAACTGAACTAGAGCTTCTGATTCTCAATCTAATTAGGGAGCTTGATGAAGATTATTTTGTTTACAAACTATGAGTCATCCATCCCATTTCACTGGGGCTTTTGGCTTAGCTCCTTCATTACTGCCACCAGCATCATCATCATTAGGATAGATTAACAGATTTTTTTAATGTCATCAAGACACTTTTCTAGAGTCTGGGGATAGATAAAAAGAGCTATAACATAGATCAGTCTTCAAAGACCTCTGACCCAGTTGTGAGACCAGGGAGGGCTTCGGCATGGAGGTACATTTGGCCTGGGCCTTTAGGGAAGATTTGTTTGTAGCAGACATGCAACATTATTGGCACTTGTAATATTCTAGGCAAAGGCAGACAGATGTGGTTATATGCATGTTTAAAGAAATCCACATTTCTAAAAGTTGTAACCCATCTGCACTATGGTTTATGTGGTGTGAGGTAGGGATCTGACTTTATTTTTCTCCATGTGGATGGATAGTTGTCTGAACCTCATTTAATGAATTATCCATCCTTTCCTCAATAATTAGAAATACTACTTCTTGCATTTACCAAATTTTCTCAAAACTTGTGTCTGTTTCTGAATTCTGTTTCATTTCATTGTCCTCTTTGTACCTGAGCCAGTACCACATTATTCAAATTCATGTAGCTTTGTAATATGTCTTGACATCTGGTAGAATAAGCACCCTCTTTTTGTTCTTTTTCAAAATAGTTATGGCTATTCTTGCACACTGACTCCTCTGTATGAATTTTAGAAGTTGCTAATCAAATTCCTTGAAAAATCACAGGGGGCATGAAGAGAATGCCGTGAGGCATAGAGGGGGTGTAATGGGCCATGAGGCTGGTAAAGTAATTTGAAGATCAAATAATGGAGGCTTCAATTGTCCAGCTAGAACATACAGAGCCCACAGCACTTCCAGGCATTTCTGAAGAAGCTGAGATAACTCCTGGCACCCAGACTCCTCCCTAAAGAAGCTTATCTGTAATGCCGTGCACGTAGACTGCTATAGACTGGCCAGAACACCCATGTCCCTAGAGCCCTGCAGGGCGAGCTGAAGGGAGCTCAGCCTGTGCAGGAAAGAGCAAAGAAAGGATTGTCCATCTCACCTATTCAGAGCTAGAAGTGACCTGATTCTGAAGCCCTGAGGCAGCTTCCTTCCCTCTGCCTTGGTCTTTTCACTGCCTCTGCCCCTTTTCACACACAGACTTCCCTGGCTGCCATCTGTCACAGTTACAGATGATTGGACAAGGATAAGGAGAGAGAGTCAGTTGCCCATTGTGTCTTCCTCTGAGAGCTAATGTCAACCCTGGATCAGAAATCATGGGAAGCAACTGGCCTTTGGGTGAGCAGAGGAGCACGTGGGCCCCTCAGACAAGCCTCCGAGGACAGGCTGCTCTCTCATCCATCCCATTACATTAGCTACAAGAAGAAGACATGAGCGCAGGGAAGTGCCTCTCCCCTGCTCGCCTCTCTGGTTTCTGACTTCTTTGGTTTGAATTTCATTTTCATTCAACAAGTATTTATTGATCACTTGCTGTGCACCACCTGCTAAATAAACCATGTCCACAAAACAGACTTGGTTCTGTCTTCAAGGAGCTTATAGTCTGATAGGGGAGACACAGGCCGCAGTAAGCTATCTACAAAACACACACAGCTCTCCCACAGGAAGCCTCTGCCAGAAATGGAAGAAAGCAGAGGGAGATGTATCCATACCAAAGGGTTCTCTTCGTGCCAGGCGGGGGTCAGTCAAGAAGGAGACTGGAGATTTTTATGAAGGGACTTCAAAAAGTTTACAGAAAGTTGAAATTACAGTATGAATTTATTGCAGAGCAAAAATATTTTTGAAATCCATGCACAATTTTTTAATAATACCCATTTTCTATGAACTTTTTGTTAATGTCAGGGAGGTACATGTGTGCACAAAAGAGAGAAAGAAAGAGGGAGAAAGAACCCACCAATGGGGCTGTTCATGCCCAAATCCTTTTTCTTCCAATTCTCCCTCCTGTTTGGATCCTAAGCACACATGCACACACATGTCCAACATATTTTTTTCAGGTCACCAAGGCTGGCAGTCAACCCCTGGTGGCCCATGTGAGATTTGAGGTTCTCTGTTCAGTGCTTAACCATTTTACTATGGGTTCAGCTCTCATGAACTTTTTGAAGACCCCTTGTATGTGTAAGGGGCAATCTGAAAAGATCTTGAAAAAATCCTACCTGGGTTCCCGTACGTCTGACCCCACCAGGTGATTCCTGTCTCCCTGTTGGAGGGTCAGATAATATCCCATGTTGGCATAGCCTCCCTCTTTGACTGGCGTGAACTGTTCTAGGCAAGGGAGGAGGAATGGTGATGGGGAGGAGGACAGAATACTCTGGCAGGAGGATCCTGACTTCCCAGAGGTGATCTGTAAAACATCCTCCCCGGAGGGACTCTTGGGGTTGGTGACCACGATGTGGCATGTATGATTGAAATGCTGAGCCAGCCCCGCAGCCTGGCTGATCTGAGAAGAGAGCAAAGAATACGTGAAAGACAAAGAGGTGGTGGCGTGGCCTTGAATGCAAGGCACAGGCAGCCCACGGGGAAGTGGAGGGGAAAGGAGAATGCAGGCAAGGGGTGCTTGGCAAAGGGTGCAGAGAGCTCTGGGCCAGAGGAAACATTAGGAAGGACTATGAGCTGCTCTCTTAGACTCCAAAGATGGAAACCTTTTCATACCGAATATAGGTGGTGCATGGAATTTGTTGTAAAGGAAATAATGAACCAGAAGTGTGTCCTTGAGAAAGGCCACTTCTGC